AGACTCCCTTGTATTTGTCGGTACTCCTTCTCTGGTCCTTATTCGACCGCCTGCCGGGCTTCATCTAGAACTGCCGCGGCCAGCGCAACGAAACGAGCACGTCTCGTAATCCGATCCGGCGAACGCCATCACCACTCTTCATAAAGGCTGGTGAATGACAGAAGAACTATCGGAAAGGACAGGAGTATTTGATTTAACCGACATAAACCGGTGTTCACGGGGGGTTATTTCAAATAGAGCATGCCAGGAAAACTCACTCAGATGCGGCGACAGTGAGGCGATGAACTCCCCAGAGGACCCATTCAGGAAGCTGATGCCTGGTGATTGCAAGATGAACAGTATGCGCGACTGACCGTCCACCATGAGAGCTCGAGTGTCGGAATCTCCGTGCCAACGAATAGGCTATAGGTCCAGGGGGAAGCAAAAAATACCACAACACTTTAAAAGATGTAGGCAACCGTGTGCTGATAGTAAAAGCTTCACAAACCGAGAAAATACACGACATACAGGTGTCAGGACAGTTTCACGGCAGAAAAGCATCCTTTAAGGATGCAGGAGCCAACTGAGGGTGGGGATTCTTTTGATTGCCCCTGTGACGGGACATGGAGACAGGAACCGTCCCTGAGACCGGAGGCTTCCGCTAAATTCCAGTCAAATCAGAGGTAACATTAGGTTTAGATTACTGCTGGAATTTGGGTTATTGTTTGGACACGGGAAAATTTACCCTTCCTGCAGTTTAGCGGAAGGACAGACCATTCCTACTCCCATGTCCCATCAGAGGGGGCCACAGAAGTAATCTTGACGCCATTAAGTTTGTCAAACTACCAGTCCAAATTCTGAGAGGAATCTAGGGTAACAGTTACGTTTCGGGCTCACTACAGCACGCGAAAACCCCATTCTTCAGCAAAACGGGACCGGTGGTAATGGGAGTTAAATGGGTAGGGGATATAAGCGAAAAGAAAAAACGATTAAAAAGTAGGGCGTATAAAAGTAGAAAATAACAGGAGTATTTTTTTAAATAACCCAATGTTTGCGCGCGATAAGTAAAATGAGAAATACAACCAACAGCAAACAATAACTGCCCAATAGTACCCGCGAATTGGACACAACCGTATATCGACTCCATATCGAATAGTACCCGCCAAGTGGATAAAATCTTATATCGGCTCTATGTCTACTATATATCTAATTTTAGAGATTAAAGCAAAAGCATGAACGGTAGGCTATTTTCCCAATTTCTTGGACACACAATAGCTTCTGAGCCAAATATCAACTGCATATTGCCAAAAAAGTGAAACTAAAATTAACTAAAATTAAACTGACAAAATAAACTTAACTAAAAACTAAAGTAAACAAAAACTAAACTCAAGCTTAAGCCATAATTCGCCATTTATAACTAAGATTTCCGTGGGAGGCCATTGTTATATTTGGACGGACTGCTTCGTACTTTGCAAGCAGCCGATGTCAAAGTAGTAAAACTAAACATGCCTACTACTCTGAAATAAGTAGATAGTTATGTGAAATAATCTGCAGTGGTGAGCTTGATACGCAGTTGTCATCGAATTTAGCTGATTTCCTGTCAGGAGTGGCCCTTCCGAATTCTAGACGCGTGACCAGCCTCACGGCATTGAAACGAATACGAGCGTTCATGTTATCACTGAGGAATCGTTTTTCACATTTAAAAGACAACCGACATTTTCTAAACCTTGGATGAACACAGGAATGCTTGCAGGCAGTCGCACAGCGACTTCTGGGATATGATGAAGTGTTGATTCCACTCCATTACCTCCTTGACACATAAACACTGTACTGCGCACTCTTGAATATA